CATTTTTTTTGTTTTTGAGTCGGAGTCTCACTGTCACCCAGGCTGGAGTGCAGTGGCACGCTCACGGCCACCGCAGCCTCAACCCGCTGGGCTCCGGCGATCCCTCCGTCTCAGCCTCCCAAGTAGCTGGAACTACAGGAGCGTGCTACCACACCCGGCTAATTTTTTGATTTATTGTAGAGATGAGGTCTCGCCATTTGCCCAGGTGGGTCTCAAACCCGCGGGCTCAGGCAATCCACTCACCTCAGCCTCCCAAAGGCACGGGATTACATCCGCGCCTTTGGGAGGCTGAGCCACCGAGCCTGGCTTCAAGTGCTTTCTTTCTTTCTTTTTTTAAGTTGGAATCTCACTCTGTAGCCCAGACTGGAGTGCAGTGGCACACTCAGGCCACCCCAGTGTCGACCTGCTTGGGATCCGGTGATTCTTCTGCCTCAGTAACTGGAACTACAGGCAAGCGCTACCACGTCCAGCTAATTTTTTGATTTATTATAGAGACGAGGTCTCACCATGTTGCCCATGGCTCTCGAACCAATAGGCTCAGACAATCCTCCTGCCTCGGCCTCCCAAAGTGCTGGGATTATAAACGTAAGCCACCATGCCTGGCCTCAAGCACTTTCTCACTTGCTGGCACTACACAATAATCTAGTCTCACCTTTTTTTTTTTTTTGAGTAAGTATCTCTCTCTGTTGCCCAGGCTGAAGTGCAGCAACCCCGACCTCCTGAGGTCAGGCTATCCTTCTGCCTCCACCTCCTGGGTAGCTGGCACTACAGGTGTGCGCCACCATGCCTGATTAATTTTTTTCTTTTTTTGTAGAAGTGAGGTTTCCCTATGTTGCCCAAGCGGCTCTCAAACCCCTGACCTCAAGCAATCCTTCCATTTTTGTCCACACAACGTGCTAGGATTATAGACATGAGCCACTGTACCCAACCTTTTTTTAAAAATCCTGTCTTATCTTGAATATTTCCTGCCCCAAAACTAGAATCAACTGTTTCTCAAAAAAAGAAAAAAAAAAAATCTGGTTCCTTCCTTTTATTGGTGAATAGTGTTAGTAACTAAGACCTGGGTGCTCGGTGTACTTGCTGTTACTGCGGTGTTCTTTCTTCTCGGTCCTTTAAGCTAACAGGTCAGGGAAATACATGTGTGTGTACAATTTGAGCGCATACCTCTATCTGTAAGTAGTTCTATATGCAGCCATCTATTTCTGTTGTTAACTGAAATTCACAAGATCTATAAATTTAGAAAGGAGACTTTATATTTCATGAAGGGTTCTAGCCTGCAAGGTGGCTATCCTGCAGGCTAGGAAGCCCAGGAAGCATAGTGCCACTCTGGAAAAGGCCAGAGACAGACACTTTGAGGGAGAAGGGATCAGGGCAGGAGCTTTACACTAAACAGTTTGACCAAACATACATGTTCAATAGATTACTGGAGGAGCTATAAATATTCATGAAGGTGGTCCTGACTCATGGGTATCAGACAAACATGCATGTGACATATGACCCATATTCACTTTGGGGTGAAGATTTAGCAATTTTTTTTTTTTTTTTTTTTTTT